AAGTAAATATCAGTCACCACGGCACGTCTGAGAGCAGTGACTGTGAAAGTGCCGCAGGAACGTAAAACAGGTCATAACTTAAAAGACTTTTTCTAAAGGCTAATTATCCCGGTTTGGTCACCATTTCTCAGAAACTGTTTAAAAACACAACTTTCTGTCTCAAAAATAGTTTTGACTTCATATGATCCTAGAACATGTCAAATTTTCACGCCTGAAAATGAACTATTGGGCTTTGGTGATGAAAACAGTCAGAATCTCAGTACAGCCTCAAAAGAGTCGGACCCCAAACTCATACAATCAGAGGCTCCTGTCGATGACCAGGAAAACCGCTCGCTGCCATAAGGCACAGCCTTGACCTCGCATGATGTCCGGGCCCGTGAAAAGATCACAGCCAATCAGAACACAGCAGGCCTCGTAGAATTCTGAGCCTTTATGGAGCATGAGTTACACATGGAAGAAAACTCAATTCCGTTACCAATTCCGATTGAGTGGTAAAGCGCTCCCCACTTTCAAGAGGAATGGAAAGGGTACCCTTACCCTAACGGTTCTGAAGTTGGCCGCATCGTCCACGTCATTAACTTTGGCGGAGTCCAGACTCAAGTAGTTGTATCGGCTGAAATCCCGCTCGAGTTTCAGTTTCTCTGTTGAATCGCACACACAAATCGATAAGCCACTTCAATAACCCAAACCATCTTTAACTTCTCATTCCTTATCCCTTCAGACAAAATGACTTTAAATTCTGTATTAAGCCAACAGAAAAACTGGTGCCCAAATATCGATAAGAGCAGTTTTCTAAAGTCACCTTTCTTGGTGTTGTTCATAGTTTTTTCACATTTATTTCACATTTATTCCTAATGGGAAGGCCCTTTCCATAGGTTTACAATAGAAAGTATCTTCCCTTCATGTCCCCCTCCCTCTCTGCTGCTTCAATTCCTTCAGCGTTACCTGCTCCTGTTGGTCCTTTTGGTCACTAGGACAACCAAACAGGATTTATGGAACCAGGTAGCTGAGGCTCAGTGTTATTTTGTTTGTATAAGCCTGTGCACGTGAAACCCAAAGTTAGGGGTTCTTGTTTAAGCCTTGAGACTGTTAAGGAAGTTGGTGAGGGGAGGCTTGGGGGCTTAGGTTGGGGTAAGCAGTTTTGGCTTTACGCTTTGTGGGCCAGGCCAGGGAGAAGACCGTACCCTTCCTGACCCCCAGTTTTGAACCTTTGCTCCCAGGGTCTAAGTCCAAGGCCCCAAATAGTTCAGCGGAGGGCACAGCAGAGTAGCGATCCCTGGGGGAAGGGAGCCTTTCCCACGAGCTGCCTCCTCTCTGCCTTATCTTTCCTGTTTTTTGGGGTGGCTGGTGCTATGGGGCTGTGCAGGGGGTGGTCACAGGCCTGTGAGTTGAGACCAGGCCAGGGCTTGCAGGGGAGCATTTTTACGGGCCTGAAGATTTATTTTTTAAAAGCCATCTGTAAAGCCGATGATAACTGATGGGCGTAGAACGGAGTGGTGCACAGCTCTATTTTCAAATCATCTGTAGGTGAAATGACACCGGGGGAGGGAACGGCGAGGTGGGTGGCCTCCTGCAGGCGGGTCTCCTAATGGAACTTGGCTTTCCATCTGGGAAGAGAGGCGGCAGGCCTTGCATGGGTGGGAGGGGGCTTGCTGCAGTCAGACTCCCTCTTTTCTTCTGATGTCCCATGTGGAAATGTCCAGGCGGAGCAGCCTGAGGTTTGGGGATGGAGAGATCAGTGGGGCTTTTAATTCTAAGTCCTCACACCAGGAAGCAGGTTCCCTACCATCCCCAGTGTGAGGGCCTGGGGTGGGGGTGGGGGCGGGGCTGGCCTGGGAGAGGTCAATGGGGGAGAAGGGGACATCTGTAATGCTTTCAACAATAAAGATTTTTTTTTAAAGCTGAATTTAGAAAAAAATGTAAGGAGAAAAAGGAAATTGAAAGAATGCTCCGGAAGATGCTGTGACAGGGCCGGCCGGGGGCTCGGCGGGTGACAGCATCAGCCACACACCGGCACGCTGGCCCCTGGGACTTGGCGCGAGCAGGGACTCACCCAGGAGCTCCTCGGAGGCGCCGGAGAGCAGCTGGTAGAAGACGTGGAAGTTCCTCTCGCCCCGCGGCTGCTTCACCACGCGCGACTTCTCCAGCAGGTCTAAGGGGAGAGGGATCAAACCCAGGGCAGGGTCAGCTTGGCTCTGGCATCCACCACGGTTCTCTGTTCCCCTTTCCCTGTCTCCTCCCGTTTCGTATTAATAGAAAAATACCAGGAGGTACATTTTCAGCTCTAGTTCCGGGGAGAAACGCAACCCTAACTGAAGCCACCCAGCGAAACACACAGGGTCCCTTCAGACAACAGTGATGGGCAAGGTAAGTTCAACAATACCCGCAACCACCTGACTAAAGACAATAAGCTTTAAACCTACAGGCTCTTAACGTGGCATGACATTCGCTTCTTCAACACGTAGCCTTGCAAGTCAAACCAAGCAATGAAGTGCGGCTTTACTAACCCACTAGGTAATTATGATAACAAATCATTTAAAATTTGTGAGATCTGACTGTGTGCTTTATAGACTTTTCCCACTGAGTCCTCCACCATCCTATGAGGAATGATTTCACAGGTGAAAAACTGACGGGCCGAGAGTTGAAGTGCGGTGGGAAGTCAGGCCACCTGACCCAGGTGCAGGCCCCGCAGTGCAGCCACACGCCCGCCACCTGGCCTGCCACCGGGAAGAGTGAGCGATGTTCCTGAGAGCTTGACCTCTTAGAGAACAAAGGTGGGTCTCACTTAATGCAACTTGGTGGTATTTGACAGCATACTTTCATGATTCCAGATAATTATTCATCCCGCAAATTTGGAAGTTTTCCAACTTTCTCCAAGGAAGGGAGGGAGGGAGGAAGGGAAGGAAGGAAAGGAGGGAGGAAAGGGAAGGGAATGGAAAGGAGGAAAAGGGAGAGAGAGAGGAAGGGAAGGAGGGAGGGAGGAAAAGGAAGGAAAGGAGGGAGGGAGGGAGGAAAGGGAGGAAAGGGAAGGGAATGGAAAGGAGGAAAAGGGAGAGAGAGAGGAAGGGAAGGAGGGAGGGAGGGAAAGGAAGGAAAGGAAAGAGAAGGTGGGGGAATTCTCTGGCAAAGGCCAAATTTAGTTATAAAATTCTGAATTAGTGATCCCATTATCAAGGACTAAATTTAGAGAACAAAGACAGTGGATTTCTAATAAGAGAAAAATTTAAACATCATCCAAAAAATGCACAGGGAGAGAGGCTGTGCCCTTTCTCTGGAAGTGGCACGGAGCTCCCTAACGCGTGCGGTGGGATCCACCCAGCATCTGCCCAGGTGACGTTCAGTGCACACGGGAGGCATGCCAAGCCCCACGGGGTCAAACCCAGGAGGTCACGGTCAGGAGGAGGAGATGGGTTTCAAGGAAACCTAAAAGTGGGCTGAGGAGCAGAGAGCAAAAGTGTATAAACACAAAACTACTAGCAACAGGACACTATGGCGCTTTTAAACGCTCATCCCCGGTCATTCGACCTGGATGGCGGCCAAGGCCTCACAGAACGAGGCTTCCTATTGAGCCAAAAGGAAGAAAACAAATGGAAGGCACCAGGGAGACAACATTTAGTGACGGAAGATTACGCAGCATCCATCCCCTTGAGGGACTGGCCATTTCAGGCAACTAGCAGGTCGATACTGAGTGCAGAACAGAAGACAGAATCAAGGGGGAGGCTGAGAGGCGGCCTGAGCTCATTCGTCCCGTGGCTCAGAGCACCAGCACAGTTCTAGAAGGAAGAACCCACCGTGCAGGGGCAGGCCCTTCGTGGAGAAGCTAATCCTTACAGAAACTCCTCAAGCCTGGAAGAAAGTAACTCGATCACATTAAAAAATATATAAACAAACCCGACAGCCCTAGCCGGTCTGGCTCAGTGGATAGAGCTTCGGCCTGCAGACTGAAGGGTCCCAGGTTCAATTCGGGTCAAGGGCATGCACCTTGGTTGTGGGCACATCCCCAGTAGGGGGCGTGCATGAGGCAGCTGATCAATGGTTCCCTGTCATCATTGATGTTTCTCTCTCTCTCTCCCTCTCCCTTCCTCTCTGAAATGAAGAAAAAATCTATTAAAAACAAATAAATAAAAAATAAAACCCTACAGCTTACCGCGCCCATCCATGCACAAACTCCTCAGTCATCCGTCCACTCACTCACTGCTCACCCCATGTGCCGGGCACCGGCTACCAACAGGCAGACCTTCTCCTCTTGGTGCACAGGGTCCCCTGCTCACATCGCTCCCGCCGCCCACACCCACAGCAGCAGCTCTTCCCACGGAGCGATGCCCAGCCCTTAGAGAGAGCACGAGCAGGGGGTAGGTGGGAGGGCAGTGGCCAGGTGTCCCTCACCTGTCAGAGCCCACCCCCAGGCCTCCCCCTGGTGCGAAGGACCCTGCCACGCCCCCCACGCATTCGCCCACCCGACAGTGACACCGTAACGATAAGGACAGACAACTGCCTGGCGCCACTCATCCCATCCCATGCCAACAAGCCAACTGCGGTCCTTCTTCAAGACACCGATACTTCCCACACCTGGGGCAGGGCCACACTGGGCCCAGCAGCACACGGGCCGGCCTGCTCGCAGACAATGGCACTTCATCATGGCCACGGCTTCCCGACCCAGCAGACAGCCACCGAGTTAAAGAATAGCATTCCCTGTGCGGCGTGTGCAAAGGAATGCTGGCCCGTGCGCTTCTTGACCCGGCAGCTCGGTGATTGCGATCACGTTCAAGGAGGAAGCAGATGCCATGTGCACCGCGAGGTGCCAGGGGGAGGAGAGGGGAACTTTCCCAGACCTTCCCCCAGCAGCTGCTTCTCCGTCCTTATCACCCTCCACCCGGGCCCCGCCCTGCAGTCCTGTGAGAATCCCAACTTCACAGGTGAGAAACGGAGGCTCGCCTGCCAGGGTTACCACGCGATAGAGCCAGAACGCAAAGCTCTGGTGACTAAGGCATTCTGCTCAGTCTGCTCTTTATGATCTTCCAGCGAAAAGACTGCAAACCCCAGAAACACGTGGAAATGTGTACTTTACAGGAGGCAGCCGATCCCATGCTCTCTCATCACTGATGCTTCCCTCTCTCTCCCTCTCCCTTCCTCTCTGAAATCAATAAAAGTATTTCTTTAAAACAAGTATTATCTCACATCAAACAAACATCTGGACGTGCTTCCATGTTTTATCTTCTCAAATGACGCAAATGTTTGCCATTTTCCGTGTTTTGAACCCGTCTCCTAATGATATACCCTCAGCGATGCTCTCCGATTCGGGTGAGACCCGTGGCACAGCCCACCTCCTCCGGGAAAAGAGCCCCCGGCTGGCTTTCTTTTCTACTGGCTGGTCCCCGGCCGGCCCCCAGGACCCGTGCCCTTCCCGAGGTAACCTGTGCTTTCACTCGGCGGCGGCTGGAAAAGGAGGCAAAATGTGCTTCCTACAGCCTGGCCGGCCTCGTCTTCTTTCCAAGGTTACGAGATGCTGGCTCGTTTGGAGAGGACAAGAGGGGTCTGCCCAGTGCTCACCCCCGTCCCGGAGGCCAGCCGCCGCCGCTCCCCGCAACCACCTCTGAGTCAGCCCGTCTACGCAGAGCGAAGTCTCCTGCTCTACCACTAATGTATCCCTTTGCTCTCCCCAGCAAAGGATCCTCTAAAACACCAGGGTGTTCCCACTACCACAAATTTCAATACAACTTCCCTGTGGGAACAGACAGTAACCACCACCATATGAAACCCATTCGCGCGGATACAGTCATCCTAAGGGGAAAGCACTGAGGGTTTAATGTTTACTCTCCATGGAGACTATAACCACGAGATGGCAGGCAGGCAGGCAATGCCGTGTGGAGCTTACACCTCAAAACGTAAGACCCACGTTACTGTCCAATCCTTGTAAGAAAGTAACCCTTAAACATGTTCCTAGCGTCCTCAAAAGGAATACTGAATCAATCATTTCAGAACCAGAATATTTCAATACAAGTTCTATAATGAAAACAGCAAGCATATCCTCACTTTAAAAAAATCGTGTATTATTAAAGTTGTGTTGTACAAAGTCAATGCTGAAGATTTACGAATATATTTCAGAATAAAAACGAACGGTGCCTTTAATGGGGGTCTTAGAACTGGGCCTGCCTTTTCCTGTGCAGCTTCCAGCAGCCGCCAGGCACCGTGAAGGGAGGGAGCCGGCCTAGCACGCTGGGCAGGCTTACAGTCACTTGATTTGGGCACCATACGTGGTCAGCATAAGTGCTTCTGCTTCCCTATTGGGCATATAAAACCATTTAATCCAACCAATTTCATATGAACACTTACTGCTGGAAATATTCTCTAATAACTATGCAATTTGGCAAATGTGGGTAATTTCAACACTATGGCACATACCTTGTGTAGTCAGGCAAACTAAAACGGAAAACTAGCCCGGCCGGCGTGGCTCAGAGGTTGAGCATCAACCTAGAACCAGGAGGCCACAGTTCGATTCCCGCTCAGGGTACATGCCTGGGTTGTGGGCTCCATCCCCAGTGTGGGGCGTGCAGGAGGCAGCCGATCCATGATTCTCTCTCATCACTGATGTGTCTATCTCTCCCCCTCCCTTCCTCTCTGAAATCAATAAAAATAGAGCTTAAAAAATAAAATAAATGGAAAATTAACTACTTAAAAACTATAAAATGGTGGAAATGAGAAGAACCATACAATTTATTCAATTTAATCCCATGGTTTCAAAGATGAGAAAACCCCAGCCCAGCAAGGTTGCTCTATGAATAGTGATTTAATTTTTTTAAACCAGCTGTATAGTTTGCCCAGGTTTCTTAACCACTAGGCATTCCTCCAGCCTAGAGTAGGGCTGGGTTTGTTAAATAAAAAAACCGCTGGGGAATCTTCTTTGTTACTGGGTTGGCTTAAGGTCTATGGTAATAAAATACAGTTGGACTAATACCTATTTCTTCGGCAGACTCCTAAAAAGTTTTTCCAGGGTAAAGATTATGTCATCTTTAAAAAAGATTTAGAAATTATATAAGACAAGCTGAAACCTATAGGTTAAAAGTCTAAGCAGTATAAGAAGACATATTCGTACACCCATCCCTTAAAGATCCAAGTACCTACAATATTCCATTTTAAACACACGTGTTACTATTCTAAACTTCTTTAAAAGAATTCAAATAAAATACTCACAGTTACTAATCACTCCTCCCAAGGGGTCGCCTTTAAAGTCGAATTCAATATCCATATATTTGCCCTGCCAAAGAAAGACTTTGTGAGTTTTCAAGACCCCCTCAAAATATTCAGTCAGCGTACCCTCTCAGAGAACAGCAGCAGCGTAAGCCCTTCATACATCTGTTTAAATGTAATTAAGAAAGACACAGTTTATGTAACCATGACGCACAACAATATGCCTCCATGAATAATTCATATTAAATACCCCATTAGCTCCAAACTAGCATATCCCATTGCTAATTCAAGAATAGATCATCTCAGCCACCATGTACATTTTCCACTTCAGATATGTTTCAAATTCTGAAGGGGGTGTGTCTTCCATTCAACAATAAAACTGCGGAAAATAAGTATTCCTGGTATATGCATTCGTGGGGAAGATGAATTATTTCATTTTTATAGGCAAAACATGTGTAAGCCGTGGCCAGAAACTCCAAACACACTGGCCCCGGGGAACACTTAAAGTCTTGTTTTTATATCCACTCAAATCAAATGCAGGACCATGCGGGTGACCAGCTCAGAATCAAAGACCGCTCAGTATTCCTCTCGGGCTTTGATCTAGATTACACAGCCATCTATGACCGGGTTCCTGTTATACTTTATAGACGGTGTGTTACACACAGGGACGCACACATGGCGTTTCACACGGTCATTTCTACAGAACTGCTCTGTAATTGTCTGGTTAAAGAGTAACCAGCAGGAGAGAATGGCCCAGACAGCTGCTTTTTGTTTGGAAAAGGGTGTGTTGGTCGAAGAAGGAGACCTTGGTTTTGCTTCGTGTTCAACCTTCGTAATAGCCAGAGAGATGGTTCGTAAATCATTTCTACAGAACTGCTCTGTAATTGTCTGGTTAAAGAGTAACCAGCAGGAGAGAATGGCCCAGACAGCTGCTTTTTGTTTGGAAAAGGGTGTGTTGGTCGAAGGAGACTTTGGTTTTGCTTCGTGTTCAACCTTCATAATAGCCAGAGAGATGGTTCGTAAATTATTCTCCCAAAGAATGACTTACACTTTTCTATTTGAGAAATAATGGCGAGGAAGAAGACACAGGATCGCATGGCACCCAGTCAACAGTGCAATTTGTGACTTTTTCTTAGCTCACACACGCTCTCCTGCCTTCTCCTTCTCATTATCCTGGGTCTTCTGGCCTTTTAAAGCCTTTACAGCCCTAGCAGGTTTGGCTCAATGGATAGAGCATCAGCCTGAGGACTGAAAGGTCCCAGGTTCAATTCTGGGCAAGGGCACATGCCCCGGTTGCGGACTCAATCCTCAGTAGGGGGCATGCAGGAGGCAGCCGATCAATGATTCTCTCTCCTCATTGATGTTTCTATCTCTCCCTCTCCCTTCCTCTCTGAAATCAATAAAAATATTTTGTTTAAAAAATAAAGCCCTCACTGAGTAGTCATTAAGTAAAGGTCTATAAAAGTCTATAGAAGCAGTCAGCAGGGCAACCAAGGCCCAGATCCTGCCCTATGACACTCTCAGCCTCCGGGGTTGGAGAGAGACACACAGGACAGTACTGTGCATGGGGTGCCTCCTACCATGGGCCCCGGTACTCGGCACGGAGAAAAGGGACCGAGGAAAAGCAGGAAGTCTGCCCTCAGCGTCAGAGGCCAGGCAGGCAAGGAGGGGAGAGCAGGAAGGAGCAGGCGTAAGCTGGCCTCCTTGAGGACGGGGAGGGAAGCAGGAGCCCATCACGACATCGAGATGTGCGCCTGACAGCCACGCCGGGTCACAGAGGTTCCCAAACAAGGGTGCCACAGTCACACGTGCCTCTTGATAAGTCCACTCTGGCTAGTGTGCAATGGACTAGAAGAAAACAAGGCCCGGTGTGGCTGATAGGAGGTGGCAGGCATCGGGGAGCAACGTGGGTGGCTTGAAGCAGGAGTCGCAGCAAAAGGGGGGAGTAAGCAGAGCAGAGAGCGAGGCAGCGAGTCGCCATGACAGGTCCTGGGCGGATGTACAAGGTCAGAGAGGAGGGACGAGGATTCAAAGCCCAGGAGTGCGGCCCTCCGTGGGAACATGGTCTAAAGGGTAAGCTACAATGAGCATGCCGACGAGACCACCACGGGGTCGACCAAGTATCTCCATGAAGAGATTGAGAAGGTCATGCTAGCCCTGGCTGGTTGCTCAGTGGTTAGGGTGTTGGCCCATGGACTGAAGGGTAGCGGGTTCAATTCCTGGTCAAGGGCACGGACCTCAGTCGCAGGTTCGATCCCCAGTCCCAGTAGGACGCATGGGGAGGCAACCAGTCCATGTGTCTCTCTCACATCGGTGTTTCTATCCTCCCTCCCGCCTTTCCAGTCTCTCTAAATATCAATGGAAAAATATCCTCGGGTGAGGATTTATAAAAAAAGAAGTTCATTCTGGGCTAACCCGTCACACATTGTCAAAGGAAATGCAATTTCCATGAGTCATCAACACTGCTATATATGGTCACTGTGCACACAGTAGAGAAATTACTAAGACCTGGGCGTGAAATGATGCAGCCTATAATCCAGTATTAATTTCATATCCTAATGCCTCTGTTATAATAGGATTTCTCTGAATTTACTTAATAAGCCAAGCCTTTCAGTTGTGAAAGTAGTAATGACTCTGAGCAACATGGCTTTCTCGATGTTTAAGGTCTATGGACTAAATATATTTGCAAACGTTTTTTGTAAAGCGTGTCATTGGCAAAAAGCAAAACATAAAATCTCCACAAAGCAGCTTGACCTCTTGGAATGACTTCTCTCTGCCCACGCTCCCGTTGCTGCTCATTCTATTTATGTAATGAGATTAGCCATGTGACCACAGCAGGGCAAGGCAGGGCTAATCCAATGGAAAAACGCGCAGCCTCGGACCGGAACCTTCCACTCTCCGAGCTATCGACCACCTCCTCGGGGGCCACGCCCCGCCTGCAGCACTGAGAACCCCACGCAGGAACAGCAGAGGAGCTGACAGAGGGGAAGAGGAAGGGCAGGGAGGGTCTGGGCAAAGAGGCATCAAAGATCAGAATCGGTCCCGAGTCGTGTATGAGAAGAGAGCGTATGAAGTCACTGATCTTTTAACATAAAACCGGTGAAACTCTAGAAGAAAGGAAGTGATTTCAAGCCCTGGCCGGGTTAACTCCGTTGGTTAGAGCATCGTCCCAGTACACCAAGGTTTGGGGCTCAGGCCTAGTCAGGGCACAAACCAAAATCAACCCATGGATGCATACGTGGGACAGCAACCAAGGTTTGGGGCTCAGGCCTAGTCAGGGCACAAACGAGAATCAACCCATGGATGCATACTGCGGTCGATGCTTCTCTCTCCCTCTCCCTCTCTAAAATCCATCAGCAAATAAATAGAAAGAAGGAACCGATTTCAGAATGCTAGCCTCACACACGGCATGCTCTCCCTGCTGCCTCCGGGCAGGTCTGTGTCCCTGGAAAGACCCGGGGCGGGGTCCAGCTGGAGAGTCTGGTGGGCAGGTGTGCAGTCATGCGGAGATGATGGGAGACGAAGCCGGAAAGTTCTCTCAGCGGAATCAGCATTTTCCAACTCAGCCAACGCCAAGCAACAGTCAGCTTCAGCTTTTATTGTTCAGTCCTCTCTCCCCGCCCCCATTAGCTGCCAATCCTAGTGACTGGATCTCTCTTGAGCTTTAGAATACACCTCCTTCCGTCCTGGTATTACTGTACAAAGGACAGACCCGGTACAGTATACGAACTCAGTTTATCCTTCTACTTAATTTCTGATTCTTAATTATGATTTCCAAATACCAAAATTTAGACAAGTAAAGAGTTATTCTAAATAGCCTCATTTAAATTGCTCATGGAATCTTAGGATCGGTGATGAGAAAACATGGGGGGAAAAAAATAGCTTGTCACTCCAAGAACGGAAAAAGGGGAATTCCAGAAAGCAAAGAGCAGTCCGTATAAAACTCTCCCGGGTTTCAACAGCAATGGTGTTCTCAGTTTCCACATGTGCGTATGAGGAAATATTAAACATCTCCTGGCTGTGTACACATGCACGAGCTAAATATTAGGGTTAACACTTGTGCTTTACAAATACTTACAAATCGCGAGGAGTTGTCATTTCTGACCGTCTTGGCATTTCCAAAAGCTAGGAAGAAAGGAAATGATGCATGGTTAAACGGACAGGAAGTCATTTCACGCAGAAAGATACGGCAACTATCACACTTGCAATTTATAAATCCTAGGACATACAACTTGTAGCAGTGGCGCTGCTGTCTAAAATTTCCACAGAAGCACACTGAGCAGGAGAGTCCACTAAAGCTCCCGTGTCTTCTAAGTTCATAGAAAAAGAGCATCATTCCTGATTCATGGAATTTCCCCAGGATTACTGTAACTCAGTCTCGTTTGATTCGGGATCGGGTAACAGTGTTGACAGCAGTGAATGGAGTGGCCAGCAGGCACGGCTTCTGAGCCCTTCACCATGACCCTCAGCGGATAAGGTCAATTCAGCGATAACTACTACTTACGATTGCCAAAAGTTGTGTGGAACTGGCTGAAGTCTCCAGATTAAATAAGGCCCCGAGAACCTTTAAATTTGTAATTAATTTGAAGTCAAGCTATTTATAACAGAAAGACGAAGAGATTGGAAAACTATCATCCTTGCCAGTAGGCTCAACATGTCCATCAGACCTAAGCGAAACTTTCTAGAATATAAAGAAAGCCGAGCCCGGCTAGTGTAACGTAGCTCAGGGGTTGAGTGTCGACCCATGAACCAGGAGGTCACGGTTCTATTCCCGGTCAGGTCACATGCCCGGATGGTGGGCTCCATCCCCAGTGTGGGGCATGTGGGAGGCAGCCGCTCAATGATTCTCTCTCATCATTGATATTTCTCTCTCTCCCCCTCTCTCTTCCTCTCTGAATCAATAATATATATATATATATACACTGGGTGGGCAGATTATTATGACCACCCCATCAGTACTTCATTGACACTTCCAAAAATACTGAATATTGAAAACTTCCTAAGCAAATACTCTCAAGGTTTTATTATTATTATTATTATTATTATTTGCATAACTAATTCACTTCATTGTACTGATGGGGTGGTCATAATAATCTGGCAGGTCATAATAATCTGGCCACTCAGTGTATATCCTATATAATAAAAGGGTAATATGCAAATTGACCCTAACAGCAGAACTGGGAATGACTGGTCACTATGACACACACTGACCACCAGGGGGCAGACGCTCAATGCAGGAGCTGCCCCTGGTGGTCAGTGTGCTCCCACAGGGGGAGCTCTGCTCAGCCACAAGCCAGGCTGGTGGCTGCCAGCACAGCGGTGGTGGCAGGAGCTTCTCCCGCCTCCTCAGCAGCGCTAAGGATGTCTGACTGCAGCTTAGGCCTGCTCCCCGCTGGCAAGTGGACATGCCCCTAGGGCTCCCGGGCTGCCAGAGGGATGTCTGACTGCCAACTTAGGCCCGATTCCCCAGGGAACGGGCCTAAGCCAGCAGGTGGACATCCCCCAAGGGTTCCCAGATTGCGAGAGAGCACAGGCCAGGCTGAGGGGGACCTCCCCCCCCGCCCCGAGTGTACAAATTTTTGTGCACCGGGCCTCTAGTATTATAGTAATAATAATAATAAAAAAAGAAAGCCAAACTGGCCCATGACTCAATATCCAAGTGGGTTCCAATCTCCGCTGCTTCCGAGTCGAGTTCCCCCGCAGGCCCCCTTTCAAATGAGGGCGCCTCAGAACCACAGGTTGATGCCACCCAGGCAGAGTGTTCTGTGGAGCGCCGGCGGCTCACAGGGTAGTCAGGTAGAAGGACTGCCTCACCAAGCTGTGCACAAGGCAGGGAAGAGCGATCTGGCCCAAGGTAGCGAAGGACCAAGTAGAGTAAATACGCCGCGTGAGCAGCCAGGATCCCTGTTCCGTGGTCTGGAAGCCCCGCCGTGCGCCTCACCCTTCACCCTGCACACCCACGGCCTAGGGGGCTTGTGAAGGCGCAGACTTGGGCTCAGGGCATGATATTCTGCATTTAGGCCCGTCCCCGGCTGTTAACTGGGATCTGTGGGCCACACGGCAGCTGGCAAGGACTGAGACACGATGACGTGTGAGCAGAAATGAATGTTCAGGTGGAGAGACCAGCATCCCATCTCCGGAAGCCTCCATCACCTCATGCAATCCAACGGAGAGAAGATGATTGGAGAGCAAGAGCTCAAACGATAACTCAGGGCTAAAAGCTGGTCCGAGTGCTGAGAGCAGCCACGGGGCCAGGCCAGGAAGTGTGTGTTCAAGTTGAAGTTCACTTTGGATACTTGGCAGCCAAACCTGACGTGTTATATTTCACATTAGCTCGCTTTTTATTTTTATTGTTTAAATTACATTTTTATTGATGTCAGAGAGGAAGGGAGAGGGAGAGAGAAATAGAAACATCAATGATGATGAGAGAGAATCACTGATCAGCTGCCTCCTGCACGCCTGCTATGGGAATTGAGCCCACAATCCAGACATGTGCCCTTGACCGGAATCGAACCCGGGACCCTTCAGTCCACAGGCCGATGCTCTATCCACTGAGCCAAACTGGCCAGGGCCCCTTCGTTGGGTTTTTAAATGTTTCTGATTTTTTTAAAAAAGGTGAGTCCTCCTCAGTTAAGACTCCTCAGTCCTCCTTCATAAAGTCAACAGGGCAGTTCTCAGGGCAGAGACACGGCTTGGGATGAGTGTGGCCTGGCGGGTCCCCTGACACCAATTCTCTCTTTAACACGAAGCGAACAGGTGCTACACGGAGTAAGGAAACCTGACACAGGAAACCAGAAAGACAGGATGCTGAAGTCCACCTTTCCATCCCACGTCCACCCGCTGAAAGGCCGTAAGGCAATAACGCGACCTTGAGTATGGTGAGTGCCGGCCCAGGGATCCCCGGGGGTCGTGAGGACCAGGACATAATTTGGGGTTTTCTCAGGCTAGTCCTTCCTGGTAGGTGTGACCATGTCGAGGTGCCAAGTGAACTAACTTGCGCGGCCCTGAAGTCCAGCTCCAGATGCCGATGCATAAAAGGCCGTGTGTTGTGGCTTGAAGGTCAAGGGCAAGTGAAGGAATTGCTTCAAAAAAACTTTATTCAGGGCGGCCTTTGCAAGCCATAAACCCTCTTTTCATCAAACAAGTCTGAGTTGCACATTGCTGAACCCAGCTCCGAACACTGGCGTCTTTGACTGTGAGCCACAGGCTCAAAGACAAGGGCTCCCTCAGACACTTGAGACACATTCCTCGATTGTTTTTCTAAGAGCATTGTTCTAGATGTTCATTTCCAGGAGCGGCTCCAGCTGGGAAGTGAAGCGTTCCCATACGAGATAGCGCATGCCCACAGAGGCCTTCCTCCCATTTCCTGCCCGGGGCCTCGCTTCGAGCACCAGCGGCGCAAGGGCCAGATCCTAACCACGGAGGCCAACTACGGCGTCCACGGAGCTGCTCCTTTAGACCGCGGCATTCTTCACACAAACACGCAGACACGCAACAACATGGGCAGCCCCCGAACTTCAAGGCAAAAAACAGGGACTACACAAGTCAAATACTGGAATAAGAGGAAGATATGGCACTTCCTACAACAGCTTCTTTATTTGTTACGTTACTCGGGGGAAAGAAAGATCAATAACAATAGAATAGATGTTTCAGTCTCTGCTTTTCACAAAGTCAGGGTATTTTTGTGACTCTTATTCCAACATCTGGGGGATAAGGATGCATGGCATCTCCTTGTGATAAAGTGGAAGAAGAGGGCGAGGCCTGACAGTGGGAGTAACCCCTACGCTGGGGGTCCCCCAACCCCAAAGCAGCCCGGCATTAAACATGTTAAATCCTGACCGTCTACGGCTTTGAACAAAGGGTTGAACCAAACAACCCTCTAGAGCAGGGATTCCCATCAGGGTGCTTGTAGCCCCTGGGATCGAGTGCCCTGAAAACCGGACCCCAGTCCACGCCGTGCCGACCCCGCGTCCACACCGCGCCGACCCCGCGCACACAGAGAGGCCTACCTTCCAGGACCGGGTTGGACTGTAACAGCTGCTCCTTGACTTGATTGACTTCTGCCCCTTTCCCACACACGGCCGCCACGTAGGACATGACAAGCTTGCTGGCCTCTGTGGGTGAAAAGAAGCCATGTTAACAAATTAGGCTGAAATTTAAAAAAAAAAAAAATTTAGAGGGAAGAAAGTGGAAAGACAAAACCCACCAATAGTATTTCAAACGCCTCTATACCTGGGAGTACATAATGCCTTGGAAATCTATACTAATAACAGCCTAGGTGGTCGCCACGCCCTGACGCCGTGACGCCCTGACGCCGCCATCACAAGATGGCTGTGCGCACAGTGAGGCCGGGGGGGTCCCGCAGCTCTGCGCAGCGCAGAGGAGGCCAGTCCGACATCTCCACCACCTCGCAGGGAGGAGGCCGGTCCCGATGTCTCCGCTGCCTCACGTGGAGGAGGGACACCCCCCCCGCCCCCCGGCTCCGGCCTACCTCTTTGGGGCCATCGATCGCGGGGCTCCCACACCATGAGGAGGGCATAGGCCAGGCTGGGGGATCCCCCTGCCCCCGAGTGCATGAATTTCGTGTACCGGGCCTCTAGTCTTTTAAAATGTTTGTCCTTTTTATTCAACAACATGACATGAATTCAGCTATAACGGGAACTGTGCTTAAAGGTTATCCCTGGGCCGCTAAACAATCTGCTGAGTGACAGCGCCCACAAAATCCCTTCAAGGGGGACTATCTCCTTAAAGCGGCCGTTCACATGAAATGACTCTATCATACAAATTGACTCAAGCCCAACGTAGCTTGGTAACCTGGTATCCTTACCCAAGATATTTAAAAATGTTTAAAGAACTGTTCTAAATCAAACGGGTTTGCTCACAATTAGACTAAATAAATGACTCTTTAAACTCAATTAAAAAGCTGAGCAGCTGATCTAAGGGTTTGGTGACAGGAAACATAGCCCTCCCAGGCTCGGTTGTGGGTACAGCTCACTCGGAGCTCCGAAAGGTGAGCTGGTGAGAAAGAGCCGGCGTCTGACACATTCCACGGATTCTTGGCTCAAAGGTGGACACAACTGGCTTCTGGTGGGTTCGTCCTCCCACGCCTCTCAGCCCATGGCCCCTCTTCACCGGCCCCTAGAGATCCTTTCTTTCAATCCTCACCCGAGGATATTCTCCCACTGATGTTTAGAGAGACAGGAAGGGAGTGGGGAGGGGGAGAGAGAAACATTGATGTGAGAGAGACACATCCATCGATCGGTTGCCTCAGGCAAGTGCCCCCAACCAGGGCCAGGGATGGAGTGTCCACTCAAGGTGTGAGCCCTGGGCCAGAAATTGAACCCTCAACCCTTGGGCCCACAGGCCGACGCTCTAACCACAAAGTCAAAGCGGCTAGGGGGAACCTGACCCTGTTAATACCGAGTTCCGAGAAATGCTCACAGGTGTTCCGGGAAAAGGAGGTCTGACGTGGATGCACTGGGGTGGGGTGTGCACCGTGAGTTAGACGGAGTGAAACAGGGTCCCTTCTATACAGCGCTTCCTGGAGGGTCGCACGCACCGCGGAACTCTGAGAAAGGACCTAGTGTGTGCCTTCCCCAGGCCCAGCTGCCTGGAAGGTGCTTCTGGCTGAGCTGCCCATGGTCCTGCTCCGCATCAGGCTCTGGGAACCGCCCGCTGCTGGTGCCGGCGGGAGGAAGCCTCTGCCAGCTGCCAGGAAACCAACCCCCACGTTGGCTTTCTCTCCAGGCTCTGCTCGGTGGCGGTCCCCCAGCAGGAGCGCCTTCCTGGGGGTGGGACAGCGCCTTCCCAGGGGAGGGAGGGCACTGCAACCTCTGAGGATGAGGGGGCCAATCTCGACACTGCATGCACCTGCAGGTGGCTTCCAGCCTGCGTCCCGCTGCTGCTGAGAATAAATGAACTGGAATGCCGCCTTGGGCACATGGCCCACACACTTGCGTTAGGGCAACGATTTCCAACCTTTCTCATCTCCTGGCGCACGTAAGCTAATTACTAAAGCTCTACGGCACACCAACAAATATATTTTTGGCCGATCTGACCAAAAATAGGTATAATTTGGATTGATTTACAAAAAAAAAAAAAGTAATTACCCACCCTTTTTGCTCCAAAGTGACTTTTTAAAACTCAGGTGCCTAGACCTGATTTAAGAATTTCTGGTACCCAGAATTAACCCATCAGACACAACCTTCTTACGCAACGTGACCAATGAGATGCAACTCTGCTACATGACCTGTACATTTATGGTTCAAGACGGGGCATTCACGCCGGACGGCTATGGTTGTGTTGGCTGTTGTCATTTTTTTATCTGACCATCTAAGAGAACAGAGGCCCGTGCCCCTCACTAAACAGTCAGGCATCGCCTGTTGTAAAAATTCTTGCGGCCCACCAGTTGAACATTGCTGCTTTAGCCTCTGAGCAAACCCCAAGTCACTAACAGGAACCAATGAGCACCAAGCATGTACACAGGTCTCTGAAGCCCCCAAGGCCTCAGGTGACTCCTTCTGGAGGGCTGGCAGGTGCAGTGCAGGGAAGCGAACCATCGTGCGGAGCCTGGGAGCTGTGGGGGGAGACGGGCGCTTCTGCACTGGCTGGAGGTCGGTCTTCCTGCAGTTTGCTTTCTGTCTAATGCCAGGGGTCCACACAGCTCCTGTGGTGGTCTGTGACGGCTGGTTTCTGCTGTCTCCTTTAAAGACGGTAATCGAGAAATGTCTGTCTTGTCACCTTTGCAATGCCAGGAACAGGTCTTGTCATCTTCAAAAGGCCCTTCCTCCAAAGGGTGTTGTCCCTTAACACACCCCCCCCGCCCCCCCGCACTGTGTAAGGGGCCTGGGTGACACTTCCCATTGTCCTCAGGGTTCACCTAAAAGCTGATAATGTGTACGTACACACTGCTGTTGCCCAGTTCAGGCCGACCTGACCTCAGTTATGGACAAAGAGTTTATATTCTACTACATTTTTTTAATCCTCAGATGAGGATATGTTTTTATTATTTCACCCTCACTAAACAGTCAGGCATCGCCTGTTGTAAAAATTCTTGCGGCCCACCAGTTGAACATTGCTGCTTTAGCCTCTGAGCAAACCCCAAGTCACTAACAGGAACCAATGAGCACCAAGCATGTACACAGGTCTCTGAAGCCCCCAAGGCCTCAGGTGACTCCTTCTGGAGGGCTGGCAGGTGCAGTGCAGGGAAGCGAACCATCGTGCGGAGCCTGGGAGCTGTGGGGGGAGACGGGCGCTTCTGCACTGGCTGGAGGTCGGTCTTCCTGCAGTTTGCTTTCTGTCTAATGCCAGGGGTCCACACAGCTCCTGTGGTGGTCTGGATGGCTGGTTTCTGCTGTCTCCTTTAAAGACGGTAATCGAGAAATGTCTGTCTTGTCACCTTTGCAATGCCAGGAACAGGTCTTGTCATCTTCAAAAGGCCCTTCCTCCAAAGGGTGTTGTCCCTTAACACACCCCCCCCGCCCCCCCGCACTGTGTAAGGGGCCTGGGTGACACTTCCCATTGTCCTCAGGGTTCACCTAAAAGCTGATAATGTGTACGTACACACTGCTGTTGCCCAGTTCAGGCCGACCTGACCTCAGTTATGGACAAAGAGTTTATATTCTACTACATTTTTTTAATCCTCAGATGAGGATATGTTTTTATTATTTCAATGAGAGAGGAGGGGAGAGAGAGAAACATTGATATGGGAGAGAAACACCTATTGGCTGCCCTGTAAGTGCCCCCCAGGGATAGAACCCCCAACATAGGTGTGTGCCCTGACCAGGAATCAAACCCTTTGATGTATGGGATGGTGCTCCAATCAATTGAGCCACCTGGTCAAGGCTCTATTATGTATTATATTTTTTTACTTCTGTCTCTCTATCCACCAACCCAAACTGGAACTCTTCTTCTGGTTACTTGAGGAATTTTCTTTCTAGGCTTTCTAGCTTTCAAGTTCAGGCAGGCTGCCCTCCCAGCCAATTCCTAACGCCCTGTGATATCTGGCCTCCACTCCCCTGAATCACCCTCCCACCCCAACCCTGCAGCTTGGCCTCTGAAGCAACCCCCAGACTCTCTTCCTCTTCCTCTGCGTTCCTAGCGGCATTCTTTGCCCCCATTCCCACCTGCATCTTCACATATGTGTATTCTCCTTTCTTGACCTGGAAATGTCACCTATCTTTCTATCCATTATACTATTAGAAGATTGAAAGCCTTTATAGGCAAAATAACTGTCCCAAAAAGTGGTAAACATACACACACACACACACACACACACACACACACACACTTTCAGTGAAAAGGTGTTTTCTTTTAGATAAATTAACAAATTGTGTTAAAAGTCCAGGTCAGGCTGTTTGTTTATTTCAGTGATTACGGAGCTCACTATGGCCCCAAGCCTCACACATCAGACATGTGACCACCAAGTTCTCTGGAAACCCTTTTCTGGTCCAGGGGCAAAATGCCGTGGGGGAAGGAGGGAGAGGGGAGGGGGTCAACTCTGGTGGCTGCTGAAATTAATTTGGCATCTCAGAGACCTTAATGGACAAAATAAAATGGAAACAGTTCTCTTAGGATCACTTCTGATTTAAAAAAAAAAAAAGGCATCAGGAACAGATGCCTTTAGAATTTGAATTTGACTTATATCATCTGGCTGTTAAATTGTACATAAACACAAACCCACAATATCTACTGAGATATAAACATGGGTTAAGTTATATTGAAATTACGAATCACTTTTACTAACTTTAAAATCATTTAAGCCCTGTCCAGTGTGGCCCTGTTGGCTGAATGTTGTCCCACGCACCATAAGGTCGCTGGTTCGGTTCCCAGTCAGGGCACACATCCAGGCTGCAGGTTCAATCCCCAGTAGGGATGCGTACAGAAGGCAACCAATCAGTATTTCTCACATCCATGTTTCTCTCTCTCTCTCTCTCTTTTTCTCTCTCTCCCCCTCTCCCTTCCTCTCTCTCTAAAATAAATAAAAACCTGTTAAAAATAAAATAATAAAATCGTTTAAGTAAGTCAGATGTAATTGTTAAATACAGCTCAAGGATACTTATATCTAAGTTCTCTATAAAAATTTCTGTGTTCAGATTCTTAACTACCTTCAAGA